CTCAATTAAATTTTTAACTTCTGTAGAGTTGGGGTTTGGACATTCATTTTCTGTTACATCGTAATACAATCAGATGTCATGATTTTGTATTATTACGATTTAAGAAAAAAGTCCATATCCAGTATGTTGTATATTTTTTTAAATGGTTAATTCAAATACTGGACATTGTACATAATTGGAAAACAGTGACACTTTCAGTCAAAGTGCTGACCATTTAGAAAAACAAAATGTATTACTGTACAGAGTGTATTCCAACAGAGTCTGATTCAAAAATATTTATCTCTGTAATATTCTGAAGTCTGAAAGGAAACAAAAACCTCCTAGAACAAATGTATGTTAGTTGTTCAAACAAATCTGTGTGTCAAGGCAGTGTAACTAGCTGCTATTTGACATTTAGTGGGTATTTAAAATTTATGTAACTTACATGTCAAGGGACGGGAATGGGTGTCATAAAAAGAAACGCAAACAGGCTGCTCTAACATACAACAGCCTCCCTGCTTTGAATTGCATCCACAGCATCATCCAAACTCTCAGATGCCAAATGCAGCCCTAGTGTAAGTGGATATAACTTGCAATAACTTCAGTGAGAGTTGACACTGCTTACACTAAGATTCGATTTGGGCCCCAGAGATTTCATAGTGGTATACGTCACACTCAGTTTGCACATGCACTGAATGTTAAATTGGCACAAGTCACGTTACTGGGGCAGTTATATCAATTTTTCTACATTATACCCGAGGCGTAACTTACACTATAATTTATTTCATTGCTGAATTTGGTCCAGTATTTGCATTTACATCAACTACAGTAAAATCACAAGAGATCAAACTGGAAAAATAAAAGTAGGGCCCAACTCTGCCCACTTGAAATGGCATGGGGAGGTGTCAGCCACAGTCCACTGTGCAGATCTCCACGTCGGCTATGGCATACAAAGCACTGCCGCATGAGTTTGGCATGTCTGGGGTTGGCAACGCTGCTTAACCTCCCTCCCAGACTACAAATCCCAGGATGCAATGCTTCACCTTGCTCCCGGCTGTGCAGAGGACTGCTGGGAATCGTTGTGGCGCACTGCATGCTGGGACTTGTAGTCTCTATCCGGAAAACCGCATTGTCTCCCTCTTTGCGCGGGTGCTGCGGTTTGTTGTTCCGTTCTTCTGGCCCCAGGGCTGTGCCGTGCCATGGAAGGCTGGCGGGTGTCCTGGCAACAGAGCCTAGCCAGCCCTTTTCCTGCTGTCCCTGAAGCAGGGAGTAGGGGAGGTAGCAGCTGTTCCTAGGTGTGGGTGGGGGACAGGCTGCACATAGCCCTGCACCCTCCCCACTGCTGCAGCCACCTCAGCCCTCTCCTGCCTCCCCCTTTCACCAGCCTGTGGATAAACAAAAGGAGGATACTATCTCCACCCTGCTCCTTGCCTGTGTCTCTCAGCTCTCCATGCAGAGGGGGCATATTTAGGGTGTTAGGGCAGGAGAGACAGACAGACACACACACACAGACTGCAAGAGGAATGATGCTTGAATCCATCCGTGTCACTGGTGAGTATTACTATTCATTATTACCATTAGCTTTCAATCCTTCCCTTCGCATCCTATTCCTGCAGTTGCCAACTACAGCAGGAAAGCAACAGTTTAAGCAGGTAAAGTGATTAAAATGGCATAAAATACCCCCTCTCCCCATTAAATAACTGTTAATATTTAGTTTCTGATGTGCCTTCCGTCGTCCCCTAATGAAGTTGGGATGCTGCACTGTTATAATGAATAACGATCACATTGGAATAAAGCAATAGAAAAAAACCCCTGAAATTAAGTACTAAATGACTCAATTTTGTTCATGAGGTGGCCATCTCCCACCTGCTGATATATGTTCTAGGGCACAGCCTTGCAAAAATATAAACATTTCCTAGCATCATCAATTAAAATGACATCAATACAGAAAAAAAAAACTGTAAAATGGCAACCAAATAAAATACTAAATGATCTCACTTAGTTTATAAACCCCTCACTTCCCGGGTGTTCAGTGACAAGGTGAGTTGGGGTGTTGCACACCTAAACAGCTTAAATTTAACAAGAAAAGGGAGAGAACAAAGGAGGAAATGTAAAAATCAAATAAAACACTAAAGAATGCTAATAATTTTGTTTATGAGGCACCCTTCAATCCTAAGAAGTTGTAGAATTAAAATGTAACTACAGCATTTTAATGAAAACAAAAGAGAGGTAACAAAAGAAGCAAATAAAGCATTAAATAATAGTAAAAATTATTGACAATTATTTCTTCAGTATCTTTCTGATCCCTTTGCCACTAATATGCTTAGAGAACTGTGCAAACAGTTACTATATAAACTCATCAATAATAGAGAAAGCAGCATAGACTATAAATACCAATTAAAAAACGACTACATAATAAATGCATTATATAGGAATAATTATATGTACAATACTGTATACAATTACTTTTAAACTACAGGGATATCCCATTAACTTCTTGTAGTTTGAAACTAGTTTTGTTTTGTTTTCCCCCCATACAATTTCTTTGTTAAAAGATAGTCATTTTGTACATCATTTCTTAAAGTGCTTCTGGCCAATACAATCCACCACTGGGAAACCTGTCCAGCAATGAGGGGGCATGATGGGGTTGATTGTAAGTGCACTGTCACAAGACATTATTATGCTCATTATTAGGATTTCTTTTAATTAGAATTAACCTGAGTAGCTTTATAAATGTGTATGGCTTCAGATTGGTAGTGGCACTGTCAGTTGAGGGATGGTGAAAATGTCAGTACTTGGGGAAGTTAAAGGAATAGAAATAAGGATTAGAGGGGAGAATAGATGAAGTCTCCCCTAGAAATGTACAATAATAATAATAACAACCTTAAATTATAGTTAACTGTGAAGGTATTACTTTTGGGTTCTGAGTCTGCTACTGAATCTGAATATCATAAATGACCTGGAAAAATGGGTAAAAAGTGAGGTGATAAAGTTTGCAGATGATATAAAATTACTCAAGATTGCAGTCAGCTTTGAACTTAACTAAGAGTTAAAAGGAATCTGGGTGACTGTGCAAGAAAATGGCAGATGAAATTCAGTGTTGATAAATGCAAAGCAATGCACATAGAAAACAATCCAAATGACGGGGTCTAAATTAGCTGTTACCACTCAAGAAAGATCTTGGAGTCATTGTGAGTTGTTCTCTGAAAAGTTCTGCATAATGTGCAGCAGCAGTCACAACAGCTAACAGAATGTTAAGAACCATTAGGAAAGGGATAGATAATACGACAGAATATATCATAATGTCACTACATAAATCCATGGTACACTCACACCCTGAATACTGTGTGCGGTTCTGGGCACCAATCTCCAAAAAGATATTAGAATAGGAGAAAGTACAGAGAAAGGAAACAAAAATGATTACAGGAGTGGAACAGCCTCCATATGAGGAGAGATGAAAAAGTCTGCGACTGTTCATCTTAAAAAAAAGAGATCACTAAGGGGGTATACATAGAGGTCTATAAACTCAGGAATGGTGTGGAGAAAGTGAATAAGGAAGTGTTATTTACCCTTTCACACATAACAAGTATCGGGGTCTCCCAATGAAATTAATAGGCCAGTAGGTTTAAAACAAACAAAAAAAAGTACTTCATACAACACACAGTCAACCTGTGGAACTCATTGCCAAGAGATGTTGTCAAGGCCAGAAGTATATACGAGTTCAAAAAAGAACTAGATAAGTTCATGGAGGATAGGTCCATCAATGGCTATTAGCCAAGATATCAGGGATGCAATTTGATGCTCTGGGTGTCACTAAACCTATGACTGCCAGAAGGTGGGTCTGAACAACACTTGATAAATTGTCCTGTTCTGTTCATTTCCTCTGAAGCATCTGGCACTGGCCACTAATGCTGGACCAGATGGACCATTGGTCTTACCTAGAGTGGTCATTCTTATGAAACTCTGTGCCTCAATGGAACCCAGTTGAAGCCACTGGGCTGAAACTTACCCTTGCAGCAAAACTTATAGTTTTAATATAAAAAAAAATACACTTGGAATAGCAGATAGTAGGTTGCAAGATAAGTGGAATTTTTAAAGAATCCTACAACCAGCGTTGACTTCTAAAATTTAATTTTGCAGGCATTTCGTAACAGAGTAGACCCTGTAGATAGGCAGTTATCTGTTTTAATTTATGAGCTATTGTGATGGCATGAAAATTAGCCATTATGCATGCTCAGTAGAATTATTCTTTTTATTGAGCTTACTGACAAGCTATACAATTAAAAACCATTTTCAGTCAATGGCAGAGCTGGTCACACCGCCTGTATGGCTAAGGTTTCCCGACACTTTCCATTGTAAGACCCACATTGTGAGCCTCCGGAAAAAAAAAAAAACTCACTTCACACAGATAGAGACTAAGCAGACACGAGAGTGCCTTGGAAACTTGTAAAGTTGTCTAAAAAGGCTAAGTATCTGAAAAATGTGGTCCTAGGTGTCTCATATTGTGCACCCAAAATTAGTGGACATTTGACAATTTTGGCTTTAATTTCTCTGTGCTACAGTTCCCCAGCTGTAAAATGGGGATAATACCACCATGTAATCTCACGGTAGTATTGTGAAGAGAAATTCATTAATGTCTGTAAGCACCCGGATACTACCATTGTGAGAGCACTATAGAAATGCCTAGGAGGAAATTGATAATTTGGTATTAAGTGCAGGGTTAGGATGGCGTGCATTAAATAATTCCTGAGGCTTACTGAATGAGGAGTGTAAAAAGAAATATTGACTAAATACACAATTATACATATAATTCACATTTATAAAGACTGTATCATAATGCAGATGCACACGAAGGCTGAATTCAGGTTGCACAGGCATCTTTTGAGTTCTTTACTTTGCAACCCAATCGTTCTTCTAACATAGTTTTCCCCCTCCCATGTCATATGTACTATATATGCACCTATGCATATGAAGTCTCTGTAGATTGTAAATTCTTCAGGTAGGGATCATGGAGCAGCTTCATCACCAGGACAGGGAATAAGTGGAGGTGGCTGAAGCCTACCCTCTTCATGGTCAGAGTCCTGCACGGACCCCGTGTAGATTAGGGCAGCCTAGAAGGCCACCTTAAGATATGTCCCTGTTTCAGCAGCCCCTGTAAGCTTTTTCATGGATACAGAATCACCAGAATGCAGGTCTGCCTTAGCCATACTCACCCAATACATTGCTGTTCCACCTCAGAATGCTTCCTATAGTGGTAGGCACCAGGTCACTCTATGCTTTGCATAGGGTTCTCCAGTACTGGGGGGCTGTTCCCCAGAGAGGCCTTATACTTGCCCTAGGGCAGTGACTCACATCCTGTGTCTTCATATGTGCTTTTACAGAGCCACACACTGTTTGTTTATTGCACCCATCCTTGGATCAGTCTTCCCCTCGCTTACTGCAGAGATTGGTTGCTACTGCAATATAATTTATAAATAATGAGTCAGCTGGAATATGTTTATCATTATAAGAAAAGGATGGCCAGACAGGATTTTTTTGTTGTCACAGTGCTGCAAACCATGGTCACTGAGCACCACAGTGAAAGAGGGTTTAGGAGTCAGAAGCTGTCATTTGAGCTAAATAAGAATATGGTGCACATATACATTTATGATATTGCACAGCCATCAGAATTTTGATTCTGCAGCCCTCTGCACAAACAATGCATGTTAGCTTGAGTCTTCAATACAGTCAGAGCATGTACCATCTATTAAATGTTCATGACAAATACTGAATTGTTTACAAGTTTAAAAATACCCAAAAAACACAACTGCAAATTTGTGGGATGAGTTAGAGGGCGGACATCAGTCCTAAAGACATTAGTGAGATATCTTCCCTACAACTTTTAGACTTTTGCTACTTTATTATTTTGTACATGAATTGCTGTAAACTACTTGGCCTTTCTCCAAAATAGACAGCCAAACACATGATGTTATTGTGTGTGGTTGCTGTTATTGAATAGAAAAAAAAAATCATATTAGGGTAACTTATTGAGAGTCATGCTCTAAAATAACAGTCACAAAATTAAAAAAAATCAGGGCCATATCTTTACCTTCCCACAATTAAACACACAGGAGGGTGGGCTGGAGAAGAAATCTTTCCGAGGACCTCGGTGCAAAGATTCCTCCCAAAATCAGTACAGTGAGTGGGACAGAATTTGCCTCTTATGCAGCAAAGGCCACTCTCCCTGTGTGCCATGCAGCCTAATTCCACAGGGGATCATTACACAAACTAAAAACTATTTCCCCATGCTAATTTCCCCCCCTGCTGTTATTCACACCTTCTTGTCAACTGTTAGAAATGGGCCATCCTGATTATCACTACAAAGGTTTTTCTGCTGATAATAGCCCACCTTAATTGATTAGTCTCATTAGAGTTGGTATGGCAACACCATCTTTTCATGTTCTCTGTATATATTATCTATCTTCCTACTGTATTTTCCACTCCATGCATCTGATGAAGTGGAAAGCTTATGCCCAAATAAATTTGTTAGTCTCTAAGGCTTGGTCTAAACT